GAAGTTCTGAATTGTGACTTCTTACTACCTACCAATGGATATTGCGGGCGTATAAATGTATATGTGCTCAAAAGACATAGAACAAAGTTACGGAATAATAAAATTATGTTATGTGCTTGTAGCCATTGTAAATATGGATACCCAACGTATCAAAGAAAGACATGCTGTTAAATTTTATGGGTGGTTATAAACATCAGTAGCTTTCAACATCTCATAAAATAAAATAACATTAATTTTAAGTACACTGGCTCTCAAATATACAGAAGATATAGACGAGTATCGATATTCGTTTCAACTTTCAAAAGTAAGATTTTAATCGCTTGTATAAAACAGTGCGACAGCAATGTATATATTTCACTGATACGTTCAAGTGAAAAGGAAGAATGAGAATCGATTAACAATATCGATTCAATATAGCATTCATATCCACTTTATAAATGTAAGTATAAGAGAGTCAGTATAAATTTGCTTTATTTTATTGTAATCGACACATATATCGTATTTTAACATGATAGTGTTTTTTTATGGCATGCGGGACAAATTACCAGGGTTACCTGGGCCTGAATTCTGCTATTTTATGTTAACGCCAAGGCATGTCATTATATTGACACGCTTTTGAGATGCCATTGACATCGGTCAAAATATTGGTATTTTACTATAACATAAATTCACAGTGTCAATAGACTGTCGATATAGTAAAATAGATATGGTGGAATGGTGATATCAACAACATTGCCATATCTGGAAAATAAAATATTTCATTTTCTTACAAATTTAAAATGTACGGTTTACCAAACTATTACAAAGATATCGACGGCATTTGTATCAGTAACAAGTCATTGGGAGGCCATTGGTCTTACATAGTTAGTAGAATAAGAAAAGTGCAAAACTATTACGACATTCCATCGACAGTCTATTGATACAATATTTAAAATAGCAGAATTTGGTCAACTCAAGAGTCATAATTGCGGTGACGACGTTTGTGTGTGAGTGTGTTTGTTGGGGTAACCTCACTCACTCGGGGAAAAGCAACGACAGAATTGTTTTGCAACGGTTTTTTGTGAGGCCGTGGTATCACTATTAGCAACAGTCTTGTATGGCGTAGTGATTTAAGCGATCCTACTACGAGTGTTGTGGGTTCGATCCCCACATGGGACGACACTTTGTGTGATGCACAACTCGTTGTTTTGAGTCTGGGTGTTCTTTGTGTCTATTTCGTGTATGTTTGTAAAGTTCCCCTCGACATATTCCTAGTGCGGGAGTTGTCTAAAAAAACAAAAAACAAGAGACACGTTTTTTCACACAACAGCACCGACATGCTCCAATTATTTAACAGTAATTATTAAATAAAATTACCCAAAAGATAGAAGTAGCTTTAGATAACAAAGCATGGTAGACTTTTAAAGGACATTAATTGCTTTTGAAGAATTTATTTTCTCAGTAATAATGAAATGGAGATATAAACTTTTATCTTTTCATCAAAGCTAGTACAAAACGTAAATCCACCGTATACGCGATAGAGAAAAGTAGGAATACTTAATACAAGTTTCTCTAGTTAGTATGAAGTACGAAGCCCACATAAATGCATACCGACGGATGTTTATAACTTGGTTAGACAACATTATCTACAGGTTTATTATTTCCTTTACTATAATAATCTAATTGACATTAGCTGACCTAAAACGTGGATTATATAAATGTATGAGTGTAAATAGTTTATGAGCCAATGACTTGTTGTTGAATCAATCTATATATATTTCTGTTTGTGTACGCTTCAATAACTCAAAAAGTTCGGCACCGATTAAGCTCAAATTTTTCAAGCTAAGCGTGGCAGGGTATAGCTAGTTTAAAATAGATTAAAAATCACGTGTAAGGATCTACCTTATTCTCTTAAGCGTGTAAAAAACTTCGGTTGAAGTGAAATCTATTGTGTAAAAAGTCATCCATAATACAAGTTTACGATATTTCATTTATTTTTCTTACTAATCTGTTCTACATTGTTTTGTAATGCAACATTGTAAATATGGTAATAAAGAATAAATAAAGTAATAAATAATGAAGTAATTGGAAGCACGCGCTTCTAATTTTGTTAACAGAAGGTATTAGAATAGTCTTTCGAGCTAACGTTTAACACGAAATAAGAGATGCCTAAAGCAACTATGAACTTGGACACGAATACTTGCGTATAACCAAGGAATAACTTAACAATTTGCCAATTCTCATAACTACCCGTAGCACTTCGTTAGTGACCAGCGGATTATGGTGCGTCGACTTCCTTTTGGGAAGGAAGATCGTTTTACGAGGACGTATAATGAGGACGAGGACGAATGTCTATTACACACTCCTATATACATTATATATTTTTACCGTTGGGAATAGCATCTTAAATCGCAAAGGAAATATTGGTACTTTGGGAAATAAAGTTAATAGACCCTTATTAAATCTATATTAGTCTATACAAATAAATGAAATTGAAGTATCTGTCTGTAATGTCAAAATAATGTCTGTTTGTTCGGGTAATCTTCAAAAAAGCTATACCAATATTGATAATATTTTACTTCCAGGTAGCTGTACAAGTATATATAGGGAGTAACTTAGACTATTTTTAACCGACTTCAAAAACGCAAAAGAGGAGGTTATCGTATATACTTAATTCTATATTGTGCTGATATGAAGCTGATATGGACCAGGAATATTGATTGTGCATCGGGCTAGGCACCGACTAGAAGGGACTATTGCTATTATAATGTTACCTGTTATATTGAGGATTGCACCTGTTATAGTTTTTTTACGTAGATTTGTATTTTTTTTTAATTTTTAGTTCTCTTTCCCAGTATTGTTTTAAGTCGGTTCAACTTTAAAAAAAAAAGGATTTATTCCTCTCAGAAAAAGCCTATAAAATTTTGGCCGGTCCGGGCATAGAACCCGAGGCCTCATGGACTGTAATCGTGTACCGTACCACAAAACTAAAGCAGCGCTTTTCAAATATAAAATAATATCATAAATATACATACACATTCCTAAAAATTAAGTAACATAATCGCGCGAAGCAATTTATTAGGCAGGCAAAAATATTCCTTTCTAATTACCTAGAGATAGATAACTCTTAGTTAATGAGCTCAAAAATACATTTTTCTATCAAATTTTTTAATTTCATAAAAAATCAACTGATCTCTAGCAAATTAGTCCATATTAATAGTCAACAAAACAAATTAAGTTCTTATTAAAAAAAACGGTAATTGTCAATTAGACGTTAGCCGTAACACTCGACGTCTTACCAACCTGTCGTTGATAACACTATCTCGTATCGTAACTTGAGCGAGTGAACGTACGAGATGTTTGAACAAGTTGTTGAGGCCGGTACACACTGCTGTCGCATTAAAATGCTGTTACGATAACGCATTTTTTATTATTTATATTTCTTTCATGGATGTGTACGTGTGATGTCTTTTTATTACAATTTTTATGATACTTTAGTCCATATTTGGATTTTGAATTTAGTTTAATGTTGCTACTGGGATTTAGCCTTAAGTTCAAGTCTAAAATATTGTAGGTACCACGCCACTATTTTTGTGAAAGTTACAAGACACAATCAGAATTTCAAGAAGGTATTACATGTCCATGTTAGACAGTTATACTGTGCTGTCTAGTTATGTCTCTCAAAACGTATATTTAGACCAAGTATAGTACTCAAAAATTCATTCAGATTTATTCAGATATACTCAAAGCGACTTAATACAAATAAAAAACTAAACGTGCAAATAATTGCCAAGTGCAAGTAGGGTGCCCTTAGGGAACACAGACTTGAGTGTAGTATATATGCACGTAAATATTTAAAATGTCTATACACTGACAAAATAAGTCACTAACTAGTTACACAAAAGTGTTATATTACTTTCAAAGGCCTTTTTCGTGTATTTAACTTTTTGGTACTTTTAAGTGAGCTAACGAGGCCAGCGACGATAACAGAAAAAAACTACTCAAACCGAATTAATTAACGTGTATGCTTATTACTTGTTAACACGCGTACCGCTAAACTGTAAGCAAGTTTTACCACATTTATTTTAAACGAACATTTTAAATACCTATTTTACTTATGATTAATTAGTTTTAAACACATAATTATACTTTTGTTAATCGTGTTTATTATTTGTGGTCAGTGTGGTGACGGATTAAGAATACGGAATTTCACCACCCGTATTTATCCCGTGGGTGTCGTAAGAGCCGACTAAATGAGCAAACTAGGCAGGACAATAGAATATCCCTTTTTTTTACGTGTGGAAATCCCCTCAGACCGCACCGGGGTTTACGACGGGGTGGTGTGTCGGACTCGGACCGACTAAAACCACACGGTGTGCCACTCTGCGCCTGTAATAGGAGGGATCCGGGAACAGCTGTTATTTCTAAAACAAAACTATCCCTATGATCAACTCCAACCCCTCTGATCAGCGTGGTATAGTGGGCCAAAACCTCCTTTCTTTGGAGAGGCTTATGTCCAGCAGTGGACTACTAAAGACCGTTGGTGGTAGTGGTCTATTTGTGAAATTCCGACTATAGAATTTTACATGCAGATGTAAGTATGTAATAATCTTTATTCTTTTGCTCCACACACCTGTATCTCAGGTAACTAATTTGGTAACAAGCAGACGAATCGCCTGATGGAAAGTGACTACCGCCGCCCATGAACGCCTGCAACTCAGGTGGTCAAGGTGGTCAAGGAGTTCGCTCTCTTCTTGAAGGTTTAAAGGTCGTATCGGTTCGGAGATACCGTAAACGATAACTTGCAAAAAGTGCCTTGAAAAGCGCACAGCGCACTATACTATAGGTCCTAAAAATGCATATAATATAAGGGAAACCAAAGAATTCGCCCTTAGTACATTTAGAGTTGGTGTTCTGTTCTCGATAACAAGTTGTTCAAGTTATAAATCAAACATGTTGGAAACAGGTTGATTTACTCCAAGTGGACCTAGACTAGGACATAAATAGAATTAGGCAGTTACCTTGCGCCCACGATCAATTGGTCCCTTGCCACATCGAAAACAAGTTGCGAAAATGAGTTCGTACTGTTGTCCACAAATATGTCGCTGTGCTCTGAGGTTAGCAGGTCTGAAAAAGAGAATACAGAGATTTATTAACATCGAAATGAGTATGCAGAATTTGGTTTAAGTTTAGTTATTGTACAGCTTTGAACAATCGGTTGGTAACAAGTGATTTTTCAATGTTTGGATTGAAGTTTTACATGCAGTCAGTTACGAAAGTGCTCCAATACATGAAACGTTTATTACGATAATGAAATAAAAAAATACGATTTCTTAAATGTGTATACGGAGAAAATTGTGTTTTTCTGTGCTCTACCCACTGAACCAAATACAAGATTTCAGTGTCAAAGTGTACGGTCGGTATATTTAAATGTAATAAGCGAATATCATCGCTGCTGTATATACCTAATTAAATCCAAAGATATATATCTATACAAATCAATAAAATAGTAGTGTCTGTTTGTAATATTAAAATAACCATTTTTTACTAAATGCATTTTTTACAATTTTTGTCTGTCTGTCTGTCTGTCTGTTTGTTCCGGGTAATCTCTGGAACGGCTGGACCGATAGCTTCGTCCCGCGGCGTTGCCCGCGGTTATAACAACAAACGCGGGTAACACCGCGGGTCTCAGCTAGTGTTTAATAAACATATGCTTTTAAAACTTAATTGAAAATAAGCGTGAATATATATATAAAGGTAAATTTATAATAAGTAAATTAATTATAAATAACTTTTATATACTTCAAAAGCTGCACTTATCAAAACCTGATGGTAATTTATGTCCCTCATAAATGTTGAATACAGTTTTAACAATTCACACACGTTTTTGTAATATCTAACTTAAATTCATTTTTTACTTGAGATAAAACCTCGGCTTAGCTTAAATGAGTACTATAATACGAATAAACTAGCTTAGATCTTCTTTTTTTGTAAAATAAATTAATATTAGACATGGAACCACTTAGCCCAATGCAAATAGTTGTTTATTTGCTTTGACTTGTGCAAATTTTTGTATTGAGCGCAAAACCGAACCCCGACGTTGTACTACCACGCGACAGTGGTTTCCCTAATGGCAAAAAAATTGGAAGGACAGAATCCACCTAATGACAAACGGGCGCTGTAGTTCATGAACACCAACAATAGATACTATTAGACCATCATCGCCCTTATCGTCAACTGACAATTGGAGCATCCACTAAAGATAATTCTTTTGGAGCCACGAGGTAAAAAAGCAATCTCTTCGCCGATGGCTATGCTATAATAGAAAGTAACTGTATAAGTCGTCTCAAACCAATCAGTATTATATTACCGCATAAAAACAGAAATAGTGAAATGATTGTCTTATTGCTATCAACTCGTTACCATTAGGTTTATAAGTTACCATGTCAAATAGAAGGCTTGAAGTGTATACTATTTCTTTATTTATAAATACGTCCAATTGGCATTGAAATAATGAATTTCATTAAGAAGGTATTATAACCCGTTAATAAAGTCATCCTTCTTATCCTTCTTAGTAAAATTCTTTATTGAAAAAAATCTGTCTCAACTGAAGTTTCTCTGTCCGATATTTGTGGGCAATATTTATGTTTTATGGAAGTAAAAAATAACGGTCATCTTTTACACATTGTTAGATACTTGTAAGAAAAATAATTTTAATAATAGCACCTGTGAAGAAATTTCGAGGTAACTCACACAGAAACATCAAACTCAGGGCTAAACATAAAACTAAGAGAGTCATACTATCAGGTTCATAAAAGCTGCAGCTTGTCCACGACTGAAATAAATAGAATTGCTATTGACCCTCTTACCTTAGATAGAAGGTGCCTACGATGCCAATACGAGCAATAACCTTTATTCGAGTAACGTTTCAATAATATAGTTTCAAGGATGATTTAAATCAGTTTTAATTAAAAATATTAAAATTAAATTTAAAACTTCCAGGAGCTGAAATTCTGTGAGCCTACCTCTTCTATAGTGAGGGATTGAAAGAATATTGAAAAGCCCAAGCCATTGGAAGAAGGCATGAAGATGGTTATACAGAATAGCATGACAAGTGGGTGGTATAATTAAAAACTAAAATAGCAGGACCTACTTTAAAAAGAAAGTTCAACATCCGACAACTTAATGTGAGATAAGAACAAGAATAAATTATAACTGTCCCTGAACATCTAGAAATTACGCAGGTAGCTGGTTTGTTGCGACCAGATACTGATTGATTACCGGCTTTATTTTAATTGGAAATAAGCCGGATTATAATTCCTGACTCAAGTAGATACTGCCTACGCACATTTTAAGAGATTGTCTAAAGTTGATCGTAGGCGATGATAGAGATTATTACACCTCTTCATTAATTTTTCAATCTTTTCTCTCATAATAAAAATGGCCGCCCTCGGACAAGTGTCTATCTATTGATTTTTAGAACCACGTGTGTTTAAATAGTTTGCTCGAAAGGACTGGTTGAAGAAAGAGTGATAGCTCGACAAGGCCCTTAACAAGCGTGGAAAGCATCATCACAATCTTCTTTTTTAAATAATATTAGTTACAAGAAGACTCTGAAACCGATTGTAAGATTACATTCGAATTCAGTGTTCTTATTAACAGTATGATATTAATTAGATATGCTAGGATATGTTGAGATAATTGTTGCCTGATACTTTTTGTCCTAGAAAAAACATCTTCAACGAGAATATCGGGTGAAATCGTTATTTTTCAGTCAAAATATTTCTGACATTTTGGTTTCATTATAATTTAATTTTGAAATTGAGGTATACATTATAAATTTACTTCTTCTTAAATTACAAAGTTCAATATTTTACGGCGTGAAAACTACTGGGAAACACCTATCGCTGAAGCCGAAACAGCGGCAACGACAATTTAGGGCCTTAAGAATGACAGTCATTGTCTATATACGCCCTTGTTATTAAGCGTAAATAGTCGGTACAGATAATAAGGGAATCAGGACATTAGGGTAGTGATGTACCTTCCTAGTAAAGAACAGAAGACTTAAGAAACACTACTTTTATCACCATTTTGCCCACACCTTCATCCTTAGAAAATGGAATACATATGCGAGTAAGTACGTGACACCGATAATATACTAAGTGTTTATTAAGAACCGTTAATTACAAGTGTTATTAGCACATTAATCGATTTTTAAATTGAAAAGTGCCGTAGGACAACACTACATTAATATCCGTTCAAGTCTTCCTTCTATCTTGTTAACAGATAGAGAAAAATCTCTTGGGTGCACTAATGTAAATCGCAATAGGCCATACATACATTAGTGTTACACTAACTTACAGTTAAGTGACCATGTAATTAGCTTTCGACTACAAACCCAGCCTGTTTGACTTGTAAATCTAATTGCATATGCAAGAGTACATTGTGTTGTACTACGTTACAATGCAACCAAAGGGAATTGTCGTAGAAAGACCGCCCTTACATGTCGTAACTACCTACGAGTATATCACTGTCTCTTTTAATGGTAAATATAGCTTGTATCTTGCTTTGCTGAATGTGGTAAAAAAATATTAAAATATATACAACTTGTTTCCTCATCATCAATGAAACAGGATGCCCACTGCTGAAAATACATAGAGACCTTTTTCATATACATAGCATAAACTGGAAAAAAAATGTTATTTTAATATTATGTTATACAATAGCGCTGCCAACTTTCTAAGTAACTTTTGTCAAATCTTCTCGGTAACTTAAGTACACCTCTAAACTGCTCATTAAACCTTGCCATCAGTAAGTTTTTCTATATTTTATAGAAGATTCCACCTAAAGTCCCCAACACTACACAATACGTACGATATCCTCCTCCAAATTTGTATCTTGACAAAATTAACTGACATCACATTCAACGATACGAGTAAATATGCAATACCATATTTTTGAAATGAATATGACGAATATGATAATGATGATGACTAATATTCCGAGAGTTTATTTGTTGTAACACCCCTAAACAAAATATTAACATATTCTCGTGCATATTGTCTCGTGCATAACTACCAAAAAAAAAACGATAACATATGTGATAAGAAAATTATGCACCTGATCGTAATACATCTGTCGTAGTTCTTTATTTGTTTACAATAAGCGAACGATTAAGCCATTAACCATATGTTGATTATTTTCACACTCCAGTGTAAACAAATTAATGCCAGCTATAATAAACATTAACAGGTGTCGAAAAGTTCCTTCATCAAATTCTCCAAATGTTTGCTCCAAGTTTGCTTAAATTGACTTTAAATGGAAAGTACCGTTTTATATGCAGAATTGAACTGTTATTCATTATCCGTATTTGTGAAATTATATTCATTTTATAAATTAGATAACAATTTGTCCTTCGTTCGCCAGTTTTATTTTTATGCCACGGACCAGTATCTTGATTATTTTCTCAATCCCTTTCTGAATCACTGTTATCGTTATAAGAAGACTTCCATGTTGATTAGTAGTTAAAGGAAAGTTATACTTGCGTATACAAAGCTATGGTAAGCTTTTAAACGCTTCTGCATTGCATTGTAGTTTTTCTGATGGAGACAGTTAAACATTTGCTTTTCTTGATTCGTTTAGGAGTATCCGAAATAACCTCAATACGAGTCAGACATTCTACAATTTGAGAATCAGCGGCAAAGTTCGTTCATTTAATGAAGCTTTATAAAAAATAAAATACTTAAAACTGGTATGTATGGTTACAAAAAACACGAAGCCGCTAAACGACATCATTAAAAATTACCGACAAATTCTTACATTTTAAGAGTAGTCACTTAATACAGAATTTAAGGTTAAAGAAAGTTACATGGATACTAATTCGTCAGAAGATATCGCACTCAAATGGTAAAATAATTGCGAGTTAAGTCCTTGTTCCACTTTCAGATTACAAATTCAATAACTCATTACCCTATATTTACGTCTATTTCCGTTTATTTGTCCGTGTGGTAAAGGATTAAGAATACGGAGTGTCACTAGCCCTATTCATCCCGTGGGTGTGGTATGAGCCGGCTAAGAGCAAATCCTGCAGGATAACAGCACTACAAAGAGAAGGAAACCTTGAAACACAAATTATTAGTTATATAGGTGGGTATACTTCCCATAATAATGGCTAACCTGCAGAAATAGCGTTATGTAGCTGTTTGACAAATGAAAGATCCCTGGGTGTTTTGACTGGTCAAATATCTGTGGATTTAATCTTAATGTGCCATAAAGAACGATTAAATTCCGAAGGAGGGTTGCCGGCCATAAAAGAAGAAGCCAAAACCATTTTACAATGATATGAAGGAGTGCTTGAAAAGGGATGTCGAGTGATCAAGGAGAATGGAAGAAAAAAAACTGAATGCACCGACCCCAAATAAATTTATGAAAAGGGTAGGAAGATGATAATGGTATATTCACGTTTACTCTATTCTATACTACGTATGGTCCATTCTATAAAAAAATTATCCCTAGGGAATAAAGTTTAAAGAATTAAGAATACAGTTTATTATAATTCATCATAATGTAGACACGTTGAACTCGGTGATACTTTTCTAAAAGTAAACTGAGTAAATGTTACAGTATTACAATGGTCTGTGTACACACTTCTTTCGTTGCAGGCTGTTCGTGTATAATTCTTGATAGAAATGCGATAGGTATTAAACATCCGCACATAAAACTAGCTACAATATTTGCGTGTTACCAACCCTATGCTTTGACAATACTCAATATCTTCAATGCAGACCGAGATTTGTTAGGGATCAGACGGCCGTGCGTGACATGTGTGAGTTTATTATTAATGTGCTTTAATGACTTTGAAGAAGTTTTTCACATAACTTACATAGAGTATAACACGTAATTAGTAAGATAACTATTTTACCTTGTCGATTTATTATCCTGAAGTCATCTTCAGGCAGCTCTCCCTTACTTAAAGCGCTGAGCAGTATTAGTGTGGCTACTTTATACACGGTTAACCGCATTTTGACGTCGGTTACTGTAGCTTTATCTGTAACAATACAAAAAAAAATTAACGATATTAAACATGTAATAAGTGGAGAATTAATCTGGCACAAAGTCATGACTGAAGTCAACCAAAAATTAATAAATAAAATTTCCAGTGGGTTTTATGCAGCATGTTTTAAATTTTTATAAGGTTTATTACCCAATGCATAAAAGAAAGGACGCTTTAAAGTATGTCCGTCTTTGTGTGCCTCGTAATTACAAAATTGATGAATGAAGTCGTTAGATTTGTTTTGTTGTGATAGTGTTTTATTGGTCAAGCTTTACTAGTAGGGTATATTGGAAACATGAAAATGGGTTTATTTTAGGGTAAAATGCTGGTTTTCAAAAAAGTGAGAGAGAGCTTATAATTGAGATATCAAAATGTGTGGGGGGTTACGAGAAAGATATAAACTAGATATACTTTGATGAGTATTTTAAGCTGTGGTTGTGAATAAAAGCAAACGTAAAACCAGTCTAGGAATATTTTTTATCGTAAAACCAGTCTAGGAACTAAAACATGTAATGTACTGGTGTAATGCCAGGCCTTTAAACAGGCTGAAAATGTAGTCTTCAATGCATATTAATTTTAATTCAGTAAATGCCCTTACATCGTCCTCCCTACAACAACAAAAATTAAAATTAATAATTAGTTCATCAAACAAAGAAGTTAACAGTCTATATTATTTGTAGATTATATCTATGATTATACTTACGAAAAAAAATTGCGCCATTACTACATAAATAAAACACTTCTCGAAGTCAAAGGTCAGAACAACAAAGACTTGTTTTATAAATATGCAAATATTTTATTATACATTACCTAAAAAGTTACCTACGCAATACAAACTACCTCTTCGTTACTACAACATTATTACAGAATAATAACTGGCCTAAAACAACTATTTTCTCGCTTGAAAATTAAAACAGAACAGAAGATTTAGATTCTTGCATGTTCCTATTGCTCCTAACCTAACCAGTTCAGCTCAGTCCGTATGATGACGGCTTAAGAATACGGAGTGTCATTACCCCTGTTCATCCCGTGGGTCGTAAGAGACGACTAAGGGAGCAAACTACGCAGAACAATAGCACTGCAAAGAGAAGGAAAACTTGAAACGAACCCTATACCAACACGTCTGGCCAGCGTGGTATAGTAGGACAAAACCTCCTTACTAAGGAGAGGCCTATGTCCAGCAGTGGACTGTTAAAGGCTGTTGATGATGATGACAATGATGATAACCAGTTCTTGTAACCTTTTTTTTCGTGTGGAAACCCCCACTGGTCATCGTCTCAAGTCGAGTGTTGTGATATGTCCAACCGTGTGTTCCGTCACAAGTGAGTTGACATATTGCATACCTGCTGTGCCCTGACAAGGAAGCCACCGAGAACAGTACACCAACCCCTACAGTCTTAGGACGCCTGATGAATGCCGAGTCTAACCTCTTTCTACATAGAGACAGACTACAGAGAGGCGCGCGTACAGACGTCGCACCACAATCTCGTAACCTAATATGTTTGTAGGATGATCTGTCACAACAGAAACCAATGTATTTCACAAGCCGCCGTTATTCAAAGAATGCTAATATACAACATAAATAACCTCTACATTTGCTATTTCACGCGTCTATTCGAAACTGAGAATCACAATAAAATCAATTTCTTTAATTGCTCGTGGAGTGTCAATTCGTTATATCTGTTAAGTAGAACTGGTTTCAACTATAGTCGTAGAGTTGAAACATGTTATCTTTGTTTGCTGTCAATTTAAGTCACTTCGCCTATCCGTCTGTCAGTTCCCTATCTAGGTTCAGTCGTGAAACTTAATGTTCCACTAAAGGATTAATGCTTGGTGACCATATATGGAAGAGCGACATTGAATTTACCAGTAGTGAATGCAGTTGCCATGATACTTCATCCGATATACGGCTGAAAGCGACAAAACGAAAAAGCCTTTGCTGCCGATACACGATTTTTAACAATTTCAAGTGCTTTTAAACAAAAGGAGTTTTATATTATTTGAAGTAAAATGTTAACTGAAAAACTGAAATGGACACTGATATTAAATTTGACAAAAAGAAAAAACAACATGATTGTTTATTACGTAAATTTTAGTCATTGTCAAAGTTTAAAAATAAACATAAAGTAATAAGCTATTTAAACTTACAATCGAATTTATAGATTGCATTAGGCACTTATGAACATGGCTAAATTGTTGCTTAAAGTTACATTCTTTACACACAAAAAAAAAACATTTTTTATAAATTAATAATAATCTTGTGTTGTGGTATACATTTCTGTAAACTTTTTCTTCTTTGATTTCGATTAAGGCCTAGAGTTATGATACAAAAAGTTTAATTCTAAATTCAGATACATTAGCAATGAAACTCAGTAATAATAGACGTTGCATGGCTGGGATAATGATGATGGTAATAGTTTTACATAACATGCGAGCTGTTTTAGATGGAGTTACTTTTTTTGCCAAGTTTCCGACAACGAAGGTTTTTAGTGACTAGACAAACTGATAAAACCAATAAATAACACCGCAAGTCCTGATGAGTCACGGATTTATGAGGTCTTGCTGCATATATAATTGCGAAAGTTTGAATCTTCCAAAGTTTTTAAAATTACCGTTCTGATTAAATAATTATGTATAAATGCTGTAAAACACCTATATTACTGTCTGAATAGATCTTCACTTTCTTAACACTCTTACGAACCAGCGACAGGAAGACACATAATAATATACATTCTCATAATTACCGTCCGTTGAATTGCTCAATTTGAGAACAAAGGGTACCTAATTATTACACGAAGGGCTTTAAATGAATCAACGTCAACCAACCATGTGACACCATACTTACTTTAAACCTCCCAGATGTGTTAGTACTTTGTACTTGGAACAATGGCAGGAACTGGCAAAAAGTTAATTGTGTCTGTCAGTCCTAACAGTGAAAGAAAACCAAAAGATTCTAAAGAAACATCTTCGCCGATTTTAAATTATAAGATGTTTCGTGCATGTGCACTGTCTCTTGAATGGACGGATGTACGTATTTAAGATGCTAGGGAACTTAATAATGAATTAACCGAACAAGAATTTTCTTGCTAAATACGAAAGTTTTATTTATAGTACTCCTTTTGGAGTAACAGATGAATAACGTAACAATACTTACAACCTGGAAACGTTGGATTTTCGAGTGCCAAAATTTAAATTTAACCAATAGTCATCAACATTTTCTACAATACAGCGTACAGTAGTGCCTGCATTCTGCCTATGAAACCAAATCTAAAGGATAGACGAAGGATTGTCTAGTGGTGCACACATTTCTATCCAAGAGTTTATTAGTCAAACCAATTTATGAGGACAGGCGAACTTTACTAGTTCGTTTAGTGGTCGTTACTGAAGACATTGTACCCAGAGTTTGGATAGTAAAGAAGTCACATAAAACGGTCATTACAGAATCATGACGAAGCATGCAATAAATTGCTTACATTCCATCTATCGAGACAGATAGATAGAGAGAGAGAAAGAACTCTTTATTGTACAGCAAAAGAGTGCCTTTTTTTTAAATATTATATTTTGTCCGATAACAAAACTTGACGCATTCACGGCTGCTTGTATTGAATTGTAAATGACCTATTAATCTAATGTTCTTGGCTCTTTGATTATTTCTGGGACTAAAATTGAAGCAAAAAGCAGATGAACTGAATAACCTAACAGTTCTAAGCAAAATTTCTAAAATATGTATCTAATTTCTTTGTTAAGGTATATCAGTAAAACTTCGTAAAAAAATAAATTAAGGTGTAATTTTAAATATTCGTCAGACTTCTAGAGATCCTTGGCCTGTGGGCTTAAAGATTCTAGCACATTAAACTTATTCTGAACCCTCTTGACGATTAATATCGGACTGAAAAGCCCAAGAAAATTTATAAAAGGTATTCCGTATGAAAACTACCTTTACCAAATATAACTGTTATGCTGGAATAGTTGTTTTGAATCTGAAATTAATTTGTATCCCAAAGAATGACGTGGAAACCATAGACAACGATTATATGACATTAGTTAGTATTTACATTACAGTGATATGCAGTGACATCATACATATTTTCAAACACCTTTCTTGGTATGTTCAAATAGAAATACTTATCAATCTTAACTTTAATGACGTTTATTACCACAAGCTCACACTACTGCAGATCCGTCTAGACCAGGCGTATGCGCAATTACCTAATTGATTTATTAGACCAGAGACACTAAAAATATTTTTAACGGTCGGTAGCAGATAACCGAATGTTTCGTTTGTATCTCAAGTACTTTCAACCAGTCTGACCTAAATATTGAGTACTCATTAATTTCATATCGAAGATAAAGAAGTATATTTAGGAACGGCTTCCTTTTTTTAAACTAGGCGCGGTTATATCGCAGGGAGCCAGAGCTCAAATATTTGCTGATAAAAGTGTTGGCTAAATAAATAAGAAGATTTTTCGAACAATTTTTTAGAGCCATATGCCGCAATTGCTTCGCGCGTGAGGTCTGGAGTTAAAATAAAAGGTCGAGAAGTGTTTTATAGATTAAATATTATTGATAAGAAACGCCCAACGGTAGTCAAAACATTTAGAGTCGACTCAATATCTTCTACATACACATTAATTTCTACCTATACATTATCTCCTTCCTCTTTAAGATTTTGTATGGTGCTTTCATTTGTGCACTGCTTCCATTTGCGAAGCTTTTGTGCCGTTAAATTGGTTTTCAAATATAGTTATTGTAAATATTACACAACAATTCAAATAGTCGCCACTGTTCAAAAAACTATAATCTCGGATCAATTACTATGTTCGTATGTTACCTATGTTATTTTTGTCTAAACATTTGTTGTTTGTGGGTGCTATTACATAGAGAAGCATTTCATATTTACAATTTATCGTCCTACTCACAGTTGAACGCATTCATCAAAATTTCATGTACAATAGGTCCTTTTCACAC